TATATATATATATACATATACATATATATATATATATATATATATATATATATATATATATATATATATATATATATATATATATATATATATATATATATTATATTATTATATTACTTATTATATATATATATATATATATATATATATATATATATATATATATATATATATATATATATATATATATATATATATATATATATATATATATATATTATATATATATATATATATTCATATATATACATATACATATATATATATATATATATATATATATATATATATATATATATATATATATATATATATATATATATATTCTTGTTTATGAAATACCTGCACACATGATATTTTCTGCAAAGCAAAAAGCAAAGAAAAAAACGTATCAGACCTTGGGACTGCAGCAGAATACATAAAAAAAGATGAACAGGTTCGGCCTGTCATTGCATATTCCACAAAAAAAACTGCAACAATGTGCACGGAAATGTATCAGACAAAGTGGTAAATAACGTGACTGGAAATAACACAGCCTTGCATAACACACGCTGACGGGACCGGGAGAGGGGAGGGGGAAGGGTAGGGGGAGGAGGAGGGGGATGAGTTAGGGGGGGGAAGTTTACATTTGCTTGGATTCTTGAAACGATGATGAGGATGAGGAGGAATGATAGGGCGTATTATTTGTAATGACAGTGAGGAGTACAGTGATGGGGAAGATGATAATGAGGAGAATAAGGATAATGATTATGGTGACGATGGCTAAATGGGTTTAAAGTTTATGGTGATAGTGATAAGTATGATCATACAGAGTAGACGAATGGTTATAATTATAGTGACGATGCTAATGATGCTAATGGTGATGGTCACTGTTAGTTATGCCAATAATCATCATAGTATTAATATTAATACATATATTGATAGAATTTATCATAGCAGTAATGATAATGATCACAATGATAACAGTAATCACAGCAAAGATAAATTTATTGATGGGTGTAAGGATCATTATGATGATATGGAGAATATGATGAAGCGTAGATACATTTTGTTATCGCCTTTTCAGTCATCATTCGAATTTCACTTTCATTCATCAGTTCCTTTTATTTTTTATTATTGATTTTGGAATCTGGTGGTTCTATCTGACTCTCTATTGGCAATTAGCATTACATTTACAGAAGTAATGATAATTAAGATAATATATGAGTAGTATTGCTAATATTTAATAATTGTGAGGACAATAATGGTACTGACTTGGGATATGAAAAGAAGGTTCGTAAAAAAGTTTAGTACATCACAGCGCAACTACAGAAAATATAATCATAAAATAGCTTAAACATGACTAAATCACACTTTATCACTTGTTCTCTACAATGATTTTTACAACCTTATTTAAAATAACAGGTTCTAGATATAAATGCAGAGGAATAATACGGAAGATCCAGCTACCCTAATGAGAGCCAGCGGACCTCGCACGAGAGGATCCGAGGCCGCGGATTGCGCATTACGTGATATCAATACGACGTCCGTACGAGGCGATGACGTCAGCGCACTGGCGTGGTGAGAGCGGCCAGGTGGTGATGGCCGCCAGGGAGGTGAGGGCGGGGCAGGCCTCCACCAGCCTCTCCACCAGCGTCGGCGAGGCCGCGGGAGGCCACTCGAGGGTGAGATCACGGAGCGCGGGGCGGCACAGCACGGCCTCCAGGTCGGGCTCGGAGGGCATGTCCGCGGGAGCGACGTCGGAGTCTTTGTAGTGGAGGTGTACGGAGGCGAGGCGGGGGGCGCCGGCCAAGACGTAGCGCGTGAGAGAGGCGCCCAGCTGCCACACGGAGGGGGAGATGAGGGCGGGGCGGCCGGCCAGGGCAGAGGGTACGAGCGTCACTTCGCGTAGGGACGGGAAGGGGGCGCGTCGTGGGGGAGTCACCAGGTGGCCTCTGGCCTCGAGGCTGGAGGAGGTCACGCTGAGGACTTGGAGGCCTGGGCAGCTGCGGGCAATGGCTGACACCAAGTCATGGCTGACGTCCCACACGTCCGACACACGCAGCACTGTCAGGGCGCTGACGTCGACGTCCTGCAGGGTCGAGCCGAGACTCGAGGCGAGACTAGCTTGCTGCAGGACAAGCACTCGTAACTGTGGCAGCCTCTGGACGATCTCCGAGAGGCACGGAGGGCCGATAAGGTTTAATAACTTGATTCTCGGACACGTCTGAGCAATGCGAAGAAAGAACGAAGACGGTATGTAGACTAGCTGGTAGCCAGTGCCTCGCTCGTACCAACACAGGTCTATTCTCTCCAGTCCGAGATGCCTCACCGTGGCCGGCTGGGCACCTGCACTCGCACCGTCATACTCCTCGCCTGGAGATCCCTGCAACATGCCTTCCCGTCTGCCGCTGGTCATTTCAAGGATCGCATTAGGAAGTTCTTTGTGAAATAACACCTTCAGGTCAGTCAGAGACCGCAGGAGGCAACACACGCCTTTCGTCTCACACAGGCGCCCGAA